ATTGGTTACGATAGTCACGCGGACCCCAACCAAGTAGTCTGCATCTACCAACATGGCTCAGACTAGAAGTTAGTGACTTCAAGCACTGAAGCCACGATTTGGTTTGGCCGCCCCCAACATTCTTCCAACCATTCCTAACGCCGGTTAGCATTGCACGTCGTGGTAATCGGTGTTCAGGCATACGTAACACGTGGCCCAACCATCTCAGTCGATGAAGATTCACAACCTCATCAACTGATTTACCATCATTCCCTAATATCCTGCGTCTAACCTCATTATTACTTACCCGGTGATTCCAGTAGACGCCAGCAATATTTCTAAGGCATCTGTGGTCAAATACTAGTAGCTTACAAGTGTCTTCTACTCATAAAGGCCATGTTTCGCTGCCGCAAATTAAAACAGAACGGACTGCCGAGCAGTATACTCGTCCTTTTATTGATAGACGGATATCTCGCCTTTGTCAAAGGTGACGTAAGTTGGCAAAAGCCAAGCGAGTTTTCGAATCCGTGCTGAGATTTTGTCAGACACAAACCCATTTGGGCTGATCAGACTTCCAAGATAAGTGAATTTGTCAACGCGTTCGACAACTTCACTCCCTATCCATAGTTCAGGTGTTGACGCATGCCAGTCCTGAAGAAACAACTTGCACTTAGAGGGAGAGAAGCGCATTCTAAACATTCTGGCATTGTTGCTTAGTGCTACCAAAAGATTGCATTTTATCAGCGTCTTCACCAAACAGGACTATATCATCTGCGTATTCTAAGTTGATAAGTGGACTTCCTGGAAGATCAATACCCGAGAATTCAGTCGACGAGAATGTTATTTCCAGTAGGTCTATGATGAAGTTAAACAGAAATGGAGAGAGTGGACAGCCTTGACGGACACCACTTGAGGTTGCAAAATCAGATGACAGTTCGCCATAAGCTGTGACTCGACTAGTAGTGTTCGAGTAAAGAGCCTTTACAAGGTTTATGTACTTCTGGGGTACGCCTTTCAATGACGGACACTGCCACAGAATCTCGCGGTCTACCGAGTCAAATGCTGCTTTTAAGTCGAGAAAGACCACCATTGTCGGACGCCGATAAGTATGCCTGTGTTCTAGAATCTGACGAATGGTGAATATGTGGTCGGTGCAGCCACGACCAGGTCTAAAGCCAGCTTGGTTCTCTCGTGTTTGCAATTCACGAGTCTTAGTTAGGCGTCTGATAATTATCGAGGCTAGTATTTTAGATATTATATTAGTTAAACTAATCCCTCTGTGGTTGTCGCAGGATGATTTTGACCCTTTCTTATGTATTGGGACGATAAGTGACTGTGACCAGTTAGATGGAGTAACGTCTAACTCCCAGATCTTAGCTAAAATATTAGTCAACCTAATCGCTAAAATTGGACCACCATCCTTAAAGACCTCTGGAGCCGATCCACCTGGACCAGCTGCCCTTCCTCGTTTCAGATTAACTATAGCCTTTTGAACTTCAGCAAGAGTTGGGGGACCTACTTCAATGTTCCATTCACACTGTCTGGGAATGGAGGGTAGCTGTAGAGTAGCTGAAGGCCAGCTGAACTGTTCTCTGAAATGTTCCGCCCATCGTTCTAAACGTCTGGACTGGGAGCAGATGAGAGTATCGTCTTTTTCCGATATAATCTCACTTACACTTGACTTATTAATTCCAGTTTCTTTTATTAGTTGGTAAAGCTGTCTTGTGTTCCCTATAGTCGCCGCCTTTTCCATCTCTTTTGCTTTCGTTGCCCACCACTGCTTACGGTCGTTTCTTAGACTTTTTCTTAACCTAGATCTGATTTGTTGTCGCTCTTCATCATGTTCAGAACCTGATGGGACGAGTTTGCGAGAATCCATCAGTGTGGTAGACTTTGAAGAAATCCACTGGTTCTTTGAAACTCTGTGGTTTAAGTCGCTAATAGATGTCACTGCTGCTTCCACAGCTGCTTGTATTTCATTCCAAGCAACATCTGGGTCAGCCTCGTCTTCAGAACTACCTAATTGTGACCTCAGTTGTTCCTGGAACCTACTTTTGGTTTTCTCGCTACTCAGTTCGGTTCTAATGGGTCTTTTTACTGTGGCATTTTTGCGTCCAGTGAGGCGCAAGCAGATGCGTGCCCGTATTAGGGCGTGGTCCGAGTCCAAGCACGTACTCCAGAATGAGCGACAATCTTCTACCGACCCTCTCCAACGATGACTGATGGCAATATGGTCTATTTGAGTCCATCGTTGGTTTGGTGCAGGCGGTCGCCACGTTAGACGATGTCTCTCCTTATGTTTAAAATTTGTGTTTGCTAAAAATAAACGATTGTCTGAGCACAGTTGCAGCAGACGATCACCATTATCTGTTCGCTGTGTCGGAATACTAAAATATCCACCTAAATGCCTTTCTGTTTGGTTTAAACTGCCTATCTGAGCATTAAAATCACCCCCTACGAGTACTATGTCTGAGCGTTTAGCTTTCTGAAGAAGTTCGGACAGCTTTCTGTAAAATTCATCTTTCACATCACCTGAGCTGCAGTCAGTGGGAGCGTAGGCAGAAACGACAAAAAGGCAACGACGTGTGTCCCTATCCTTCCGAGTTTTTACGGAGCCGTTTAGCCGAACAGCACATAGACGACTGTTGACGGGGATCCACTCTAGCAGTGCTTGTTCCGCCCTCATGCTTAGTGCTATGCCTACACCTGCCAGTCCACGAGAACTTGCCATCGGGTCACCAGATACACGAAGGGTGTACCTCGTTGGCTCTCCGTTTTGCCGAGGTGAGGTCAAGTGAATGACCACATTGGAATCCTGTATGCGTGTTTCGGAGACACAGCATACATCAATCGAAAGAGACTCTAGGGTTTTAGCCAAGGAAGCCTGCTGACCGATTTGAAATGGAGTGCGTACGTTGAAAGCTCCAATGTGTAGTTTGGAGCGAGGTTTCAGTAGACCTGGGTTACAGTTTTGAGCACTAGAATCGTTGGCTATGGTGACACTTGAGGAGGAAGCCGAAGGAGGAAGTTTAGGGTTGAAAGTCGATGTAGGAGGAATAATAGGAATTGAAGAGGAAGGTTGATTATGAATACAGTGGTCTTGGGTGCTGTTAGAGGTATGAGGGCGATTATCACTTCCCGGTTGCCCACACCGTGGAAGGGTTCTTCTGCAGGTACCTGAAAAGCAAATTGGATTAGAGGCGGTCTCAGTGACCTAAGAGCCTGCTTGAGGCCGGTCGCGCACGGCCTTTTCGTGGGAGGTTTTTGACGTGTTAGCTCCGTTCTTCAAAGGGCCTTACCGCCGGAGACGGAAATCCGTGAGGTAAGGTGAGGTACGTATTTTTAGGGTCGACCTTTTCTAACCCCACCCCTCCTTGTGGGAAGGCAGCATCGCTGTCATGCTGGTTGTCTGAGGGAAACACCTTACTGCTGTCACACCTCTGTACAGCCAGCAGTACGACTTCGCCTTCGGACCTTGGGTTTGTTGCTTTTAGTCTTACCGCTCTTCAACCGACCTGTCTAACATGGTAGGACCTTGAGGAACGGTTGTTCCAGCCAGTATAGCTCGGTTGCTTCATCCCAATAGGCAAGCCCGACCACCACGTCAAGGTAGCAACAACGGTCGGGAGCCGTCTCCAAAACTAGTCAGCATTGCTCACCGTGGTAGTCGGTGATTAGGCATGTGTAATACGTAGCCTAACCATCTCAGTTGATGTAGATTCACAACCTCATCAACGAATTTACCATCATTTCCTAATACCATGCGTCTAACCTCATTATTACTTACCCGGTGATCCCAGCAGATGCAAGCTATATTTCTAAGACATCTGTGATCAAAACTAGTAGCTTACGAGTATCTCCTACTCTTAATGGACACGTTTCGTAGCCGTAAAGTAAAACAGAACGAACTGCCGCGCAGTATACTCGTCCTTTAGTTGATAGACGGATACCTCGCCTTCTCCATTGGTGATGTAAGTTGACAAAAACCAAACGAGCTTTCTGAAACCATGAAGAGGCTTTGTCACACACCACACCATTAGTGCTGATCAGACTTCCAAGATAAGTGGAGTTTTCGGTGTGGTCGACTACTCCACTCCCTATCCTTAGTTCAGGTGTTGACGCAAGCCAGTTTTGAAGCAACAATCTGCATTTAGGGAAGGAGAAACGCATCACAAACTTCCTGGCATTGTTGCTCAGTGCTACCAAAACACTGTGTCTTCGCCAAACAAAACTATGTCATCTGCGTGTTCCATAAGATCTGAGTTGACTGGTAGTGTTTGAGTAAAGAGCCTTCACAAGTTTTATGTACTTCTGAGATACGCCTCTCAACGACAGACAGACACAGACACAGAACATCTTGATCTACAGAATCAAATGCTGCTTTCAAGTCCAGAAAAACCATCTTTTTCAGACGCTGATAAGCAAACCTGTGTTTTAGGATCTGAAGAATGGCGAACATGTGATCGGTGCAGCTACGATCGAATTCGAAGCCAGCCTAATTTTCTCGTATATTCAGTTCATGAGTCTTTGTTAGACTCCCGATAATTATTGAGGCCAGTATTTCAGACGCTATATTAGTCAAACTAATCCCTCCATGGTTATCACATGATTATTTTGATCTCTTTTTACATATCGGGTCGATCAGTGGTACCCCGATACGATTGATAGTCTTCTATCGTGACTTCCCAACGATGACTGATGGCAATATGGTCTATTTAGGCCCATCATTGGTTTGGTGCAGAGGCTCGTCATGTTAGACGGTGTGTCTCCTTAGGTTCAAAATTAACGATAAAAATAAACGATTGTCTGACCACAGTTATAGTAGACAGTCACCATTATCTGTTCACTGAAGATTCCCACTTTTACAATGAAGGTCAAACAGGTGACAATCTAGTCTCTCTAGTCCTTAGTAGGGATGATTTGACACTCATAAAATCGTTTACACTGAAATTAATGACGGCGATGTATTTAGGAATAGTTTCATCACCACAATACCAAACGTCGAAATACATAACACTTACTTGAGTCGACTACCGCTAATAACCACTGACCTAAATATTAGTAAATTATAACAAGCAAGATAAAACGTTAGGATCGTTCGTTAAAAACGTTCATATATCCTAGGTAGTGGATTCATTGAATCTTATGAGTGAAATAATATTCACGTGGAAATAAAGAAGAAATGTATACGTAACCGAAAAATTAGTTACCCCGTTACGTTCGTTAAATGACTCAGCCGCATTTAGTACTACTGATAATATTGTCTGCTTTAGTCAGGCTTGTTTGGTCCTGTCGATCTGCATTAACCAAATGCAAATGTCTTTTTATAACTCTTATCGGGTTTTTAAGATTTGTACATCTTAATACTGAGGATTTCGCAATAGTAACGATTGCGGCGCTTACTTCCTAGTTTTCACTATGTATGTTTTAGAGTTTGGAAAAAACGAGGCGTTATTAAATGTGCCTCTTAACTTGCGCGTAGTTTCGGATGCAATTACCTAAACATTCGCTTAATTTGACGGTCTTTTGTAAAATCGGATTAGTCGAAGACATTGAATGCCAACAAAAAAGTAGTGAACTTTGAGTCATCCACAGAGACACCCGATGAGTCAGTAAAAACACCCTAATTCTTGGTAACTGATATGTTGAACAAAAGCTTGACATGGTCTCTATTACTTTAGCTATGTAACTGTTTTAAGAACTACAGAAGAGCGCTGTTGATGATTCAGTGAGAATACCAATTTGGCTATGCGCTCATGTATTCCAACCTGCAATAGTTAATTGCTTTATTTCATTAAATCAATTTATATGTATAAATAATGTTCGAAAGTATTTGAATTATCGTATGAATTAGGAATCTCAGAATTAACGCGATCGAATCAAGAAGTATTAGATGAGCACAAACGAATGTACTTTATTTGGAACTCCAAATCATGCATTCAACAAGTACAAAGATATCAATAGTTCAATCAAACACCACATCCGCCACAGCTTAAATAGGCGTATAAGTGTCTGTAATCGGTTGCACGTCTTTTTCTTAAGTTCACCCTGAGTCTGTCCGACATTGTATTGGATAAAACTCGGTATTATCTAGAATTCGTTCATTAGTATTGGAATTAACAACCGAAATCGGAACAGACTCACCTGAAATTGTACACAATCAGAATGCTGGATCTTTATACTCCCAAGTTATGAATAATGTGGCTTCATTTAAAACATATTTCTCACATTGTTTAGAGTAAACATTAGAGGTGGTTTTGTGAAAAAAGTAAACAACAGTTGATATGAAATCATCCGAATCGTAATCAAAATCGAGCTCATTTAGTACTCGTGCTTCGCATTGAACAAGTTTTTCACAAGGAGCAAATGCATTGTGAGGATAGGTAATATATGATATGACATCAGTATTTGATTCTTCTGAAATATTTTCATGAAATTTATTAGGAATATCATTGCAGAGTAAAGGATCATCAGAAAAATCAGCATCTATCAAAACTACATCACGTTTTTGATCATGACTAGGTTCATTCAACATATTTTCTTCAGATTTGTAAGAAATTTCATCAGAAATAAGTGAGTCATTAGGAAAAACCATATCTAGTACAATAACATGAGAAATGTGATAAGTTGGTTGATTAGAAACTGTTGTCTCACAAGGATTCTGAGTTTCATTTAACTCTGAATTGTTATATGACTCTACACTATCTTTTAAAATCTTTGATAAGGATAAATGATCATTAGGGTCATCGGACCTTATAGAATCGGAATTACAACACTTAATAGTAGTTGCAGTAAGATGAACAGTAGTATTAAAAACTGACTGAATATGTCCAAAATCACCACATTGAAAGCACTCAGAATTACGAAATTTACACGAATTAAAAGAGTGGAAATTGCCACAGGACAATCACTGACAAAACTTGTGCCCATCTTCGTGAAATGCATCGCAACTCCTCAATGAATTATCTGCATAGCCTTGAGTATGCACTGGGTTGGGATGACGCAGTAATGTAGTGGGATTTTTTATATCCTTATGAATTATTTTACGAAATCTTTCTCCATTACCACATTCGAAATTTGTATAATTAACATAGTCTAGCAGTAGTTCCTTGAGAGCTGCATAAGGAAGCGAAATAGGCGTTTCCGGCATAGCCAGAATTTTTGATAAGCTATATGCTTCTTTTCCGATGAATGTGAGGAAATGTGCTAATCTTCCTTGGTCATAGCCCAAATTTCGAAACATTCAAAGTAATCCTCAAAAGCTCCAGGAGTTGAATGAATATCTAACTTTCCCATCGCCGGCTCCATCGCGACGCCAATATAATGTTTCAAAGTATTTGAACTATCGTATGAACTAGGAATCTCAAAATCAACGCAATCGAATCATAAAGTACTAGATGAGCACAAACGAATGCACTGTATTTAGAATTCGAAATCATGCATTCAACTTGTACAAAGGTATCATTAATTCATTCAAACACCATATTATACTATCTAATAAATCATTTTCTTTGCAGCTCCAAACGCAGATAAGTCAATGAACGCATCTCAATATAAACTATCTATGAACTAAATGACCATTAAAAACTGATAGTTGTTGCTGATTCTGTAATTATGTACGTAATCCGTTTGACGGTCTAAGGTGTAGCATTCAAGGCAGGAAAACTGAGAAGAACTGTGAATATAAATGATCGTTGTAGTCTAAACCCTAAAGAACATTTTGACGAAGCAATAATTGAGATATATAAATCACAAAACTTCTGAAGTATCTTTGTCTTTATATTCAGCATAAAAATTTGAACGGTATTATAACAAGTTTTTAACAATTTTTAAAAACAAAATTGTCACCATCTACCAAATGTAAATAAAAGTAATTTGTATCAAGATTATTTTAACTATTTTAAGGTGGATGATAATGAAAAGATGGAATGATGAATATTGTTATTTTCTTTTTTTTCTTTTTTAATATCATGAATTTAATTAAAATAAATTAAATATATCTGTAAATCTAATTTGATTTGCAAATATATTTTATGCGAATTAAAAACATTGAATAATAATAATGGTAATAATATGAATGGAATGAAGCTTAAAATTTTGAATGTACACTGCTGTACAGTCCTACAATAGGGCGAAACCGCCGTTCAGTGTTTCTAGGTTTTTAATGGTTAGCCTAACATCAAGCGGTGATTAATGATTTTAATCAAAAATTTAATACTCTCCACAAACTTTGTAAAATCTTTGATTATTCGGTTGAGATTTGGCCAGAAACAACTGAATTATATGAAAGCACAATAACAGAAGTAATCATTGACATTCGTGTTTAACGTAGGCATTAAGTATACTAATTATGTATAGTGAATTTTGAAAAGTTTGTGTGTTCAAAATGGATAACCTCAGCCTTAGCTTTTGCGATCTGAATAAAAACTATTAGAACCTAAGTCTTGTTTCCTCTATAACGATATCACGAAAGGGGTGTACCGGTGTGAAAAACTCTTAACACAACATTTCAAGCTTGCTATAGCATACCTTGAGAAATGCTGAGAGGTTTTGCGTCTTCGCCCTGAGAATCACCCAACGTAGATTATTTCAATGTATTTATATGTTGATTAGTGACACCAGAAAATTTAATTTAATAGGCGTGTAAATTGACCATTTCGTTATAACACAGACGATACATCAATTAGTTTTCTATTCAGGCTTATATTCACAAATCATTTTTTCACCAAGTTGTTTCGATTTGTCTTTACATGTATCCCGGATAAATTGACCCTCCAGGCACTGCATAAGGAACAGAACCAGTCGAGAACAAATATTAATTATCTGGCAGGCTTGGGAAATAACAGCGTTATGAAACCTCCAAAATCATGTTATGCAGACATCGTTTCGTATAAGATTATTAGTGAACGTTATTTCTATGATTATTTTTTACTAGAATAAAATTCCTGATGTGGTTTGGGTTGATTGGGCATTATTTAACAGTCTTGACTACGTTATCCTTCGCTGAAAGTTTAACACTGATAACTGTGCGTTCTGTCATAAGGTAAAACATTTTGAGGAACAAAGAACGCACTCTACTAAGAAACGAAATTTCTAGAAAACCTAGGGTAGGCCACAACTGTTGTTAAGAGCCTTTGAACAACGAAAGGTCATTTTAGCTGAGCTGCAATTTCATTACGCGGAAACCATTATATTCATATTTTAGGAAAAACTGCCAGCTGTCATTGGACTTCGAGAATATCCCCAAAATTGTGAGATTGAGGTGGAAAGATTTGATATCGGCGCAGGACTGGAAGAAATATCAAAAATGACAAACCCACAGCTCACTTTCTGACATTCATGGGTAAAGAAGCTTATAAAGTTTTAGCGGTAAATAAATCCCCAAAATAAATAGCTCTGTAAGTTTTCGATATTGAATGTTGACCATATGTTTTAATGGACTCACTTAGCTGAAGGCGCTCGGTTATGCATCCACATTAGATCACGTGTGGGAACGCCGTGCTCAGCGTCTACCGCAATCGCCAGCCAGATTGGATCATACGATTCTCGATATATTGATGGCATATCAGATGTATCTTCCAAATTCCTCGCTTCTATCTTTTGATTTCACTTGGTAGGTACGCTTCATATAGGTGTTACTGGTTAAAGCGTTGTCAGACTCCAAATACCTGTATAATCTTCAACGTGCTTTGAAGCTGCCTTTCTCCGAGAAGCCGATTTCATTCTCATATTAATCTCTCAATAAGTTACTAGATACCAATTGCAATGTGCTAAATGAGAATGCAGTTGGAGATCGAATTTTCACAAAACGATGAAACAAAATGATCAGAAAGGTAAAGACTTTATATTTTAATTACAGAAACAGGACGCTTTCGAATGAGAGAGAGATAAAAGACTTAATTTCGTGATCGGTTGTTTGCTGGTATATATATTCCGAATTTAGAAATGGATTTAATTCAGATACCAAAACATTTTATTCCAAGATATAAAAGTGGTATCTATTGATCAAGGCTGTGAATCAGAATGATTTTCAGTCATCAAAAATTTCTAATACTTCGCCTAGTTGTTTAAATGAACTAGTTTCTCTAGTTCATCCAATCCTGCGTT